TGGTGGAGCCTAGGATTTGCCACCCGTCATACCCAACAGTCACCACCGGTGGCTCTTGGCTCTCCTCCCTTCCCCTCTCTTCCCCTTACCTCCACCGCCGGCCAACCTTCTCCTCACCCGAGCCCCTCTTCTCCACTCCAAAACCCAAGGTCCAATTCACTTCCCAAATCCCTCACTCGAGCCCCAATTCCTCCCCTTCCAATTCCACGGCCAAGCCCCACCCGAGCCCTCAATACCGCCGGCTCTAGCCTCTCCCCCACCTTCTTGTGATATCCTATTTTGGTTGAAACTAATTTAGGGATTGATTTGAATTTGAAATTATTCAAATTTAAATTTCAAATCCTTTCCTAATTTAGTTAATCTATTTTATTAAAGTTCCTAATTAAAATATATTTGAATTTGAAATTTAAATTGGATTGAATTATTTACTTCCCTAATTCTTTAAACCAAATTAAGAAGCCTTAAATAGCCTCATTAAATCCTCCCCCTCCCTCTATAGCGGCCGACCCCATCATGGGTTCCAATTAGGAATTATTTCCTAATTCCCCCACCTCCTCTATTAGAAACAATTCAAAGCCCCTCATCCCACCTTGGCCAAAATTCCCATTGCCCCCTTTTAATTATTTTCTTTCCAATTGATCTCCTCTTCTATTTAGAAATATTTCCCAATCTCCACCCCTCTCTCTACCCGCCGGCCCCCTCTTCCTTTTCTTCCTCTTCTTTACTTATTCCCAATCAAAGGGAATTAATTAAAGCGAGGATCACAACAAATCTCCTCACTAAATCTGAACTTATTTCAGATTTATTACTCTCTCCCTCCATAGCTATCCACCTTGCAAAAACCTGAAATTTATTTCAGATTTTGGCCTTGGCTTTTCTCCCTTTCAAATTGCAAGAGGAACTTCCTCTTCATCAATCTTCAAATGCACCACCAAGTGGGAAGAGTTTTGCCACCAAGCACCCATGATTAGCGGATCCGGCTACTGAGTACGGCTTGACTTAGGTCGAGGACGGATTCACCGATATCCTACGCTCAACCTTCTTCAATGTGAACCCAAGGATTGATCACACCGTCGAGGACTACTTGGAGTGTATTCTGACACTTTAGTGGAAGCAATTGACGAGCACTTCGAAGGCGTCGAGTGGAGGATCTCCACCACGTCTTGATGAAGGTTTCTCTTTCTCCTTTCGTTATATTTCCTAAATCTAACTTCTCTCGGAATTGATAATAGTCATGAAGGACGACTCCACGCCGCTCATGCTAAGCTTAGTAAACGTAGGGTTTGAGTGCACCTTTATGCTTTCTAATTCTTATTGTTAGATTAGGGATTTCTTTGAAAACTACTACTTGCCATTGTATTGTTTTTTTATTTATTTTGAAAAGTTTCAAAACTCTTGTCCTGTGATTTAGCCTAAGCGGGTGTAACCCCTATTTTGTTTTGATTCTTTGTTTTAAATTGCTAGTTGTTTTGTTCTAAGATTATTCTAATCTTGAGTTGTGCAAAATCCTATTGAACTAATAGCATTGCATACTTAGTCTTGCATCAGACACTGAAAGAGATCCATTATACATTAAACATGCTGTCTGCAGGCAAATATGAAAGAACTATGATTGATGCAAGTATCTACAGATGTAAGGCAGGAGATTTGTTAGTGCACTATGATCCATCTGCAAAAAAAGACAAGTAGTGCACGACAGTCTGCCTGTGCAAAGCAACAAACAATTCAATCCATAAGCTGCTACAATACGCCACCGAATCTGCAACCCATATACAAGCAAACATAAGGCGAATACAAGCTTTCAAATGAAATGCTATGTATACTCAAACGATTATTGCCTGCAAGCTAAAACATTCAAAAATACCCCAGCATATGCACCGTAGTTTGTATACACATAGGTACACAAAAAAGATAAATACAATAATAACACCTGCATGGGTCTCGACGAGCGTGTTATTGGTATACTCGTGACGTCTAGGGATATTAAGTTGGTCAATAAATTTGAACTTGATCTTCCTATGAAGATAAGAGTTGACAAGGTTTAGTAAATAATTATCAAATGCCCCTAAACACCCGCATGGTCCCCGGCGAACATGTTATAAGTACACACGTGGCATTTAGGGATGTTGCGCGGGTCAATAAGTGAATTTAAATTCTAACTCGATCCTTCCATGTGGATCAATAGGAGTAGAAGGGGTTCGAACTATCAAAAAAATATACGGTTGTGACGAACTGTATATTTGTCTTAATATATTCATATTAGGCCTTCAAGGCCTATAACAATGAGAATTCACTAATAAAAGCACCCGATACTCTATCGATAAACTGACAGAGTCAACAAGGTCCAACCAATGAAATGGAAGTGACCCCAGGCACCCCGATTGATGTAGACAAAGGGGGGGGGTGGTCAACTCATGTCCAAAATAAATCAATTTTTTCCTCCCTCGAGTTTACAAGCTCAATCAATTTGAGTTAAAATTTTAGCTCATTTATGAGCTGATTTTTAGTTCATTTATTGAACTAAGAGTTAGCTCATTATTAGCTAAGTTTTAGTTCATAGTTATCCTTTTATTAATGTAATCTTTATTGTTTTTTGTGTTTTAATTATGTTTGTCTCTTGGAATTCCAAACCGGCTTTTGGAATTCCAAGATGTGTTGTTTCAATGTCGTGGCTCCTTGGCTTCCACCATGGGCTGCTGTTTTCCGTGCTTTGCCTCTTGGATTTTCGACCGGCTGCTGGTTTTCTGCGCCTGGGCTCTTTCCCATGGCTGTGGCTCCTCGGTTCCGTGCGGCTTCCTTGTCTTCAGCGGCTGCTGCTTCGGTTCTTTGGCTTGGGCTGTTTTTCCGTGAGAAAAGTATTTGGGTTTAATGCTTATGATGTTTAGGTTCTTGTGATAATTAATGTTATGTGTCTTTTGATATTCCCTTTCATACCTATATATATGAGGGATTTGTAATGTTTGAAAGTTAGTTGAATGATATGTTATTTTTGGAAAAGCTATAACTTGTGGGTTTGCTTGGAAAAGCTTGCGAGCTTTGTCCGTCTTCTTTCTCATCCCCTCCGGAAATCTTGCGGGCTCTTTCCACCCTTCTTCTTGGCTTCTAACCTCTTTCGTCTCTCCGCAAGTGCCACTCCATCTGTATCCTTCTTCTCAAAGTAAAGCAACTTTAGGGTGTCCTTTAATTTCGAGTCGATTTTGTAAGTCATTGTAATTTTGTGTTTTTAATTTCTAAGTTGGTCTTAGATTTGAAATGTAAGAGTTTGTTTTTCCTCATCTTAGTCTTTCATCATCTGTGTTTCGTGGTTTAGTGGGTCGTCGTCGCGGTCCTTTATCTCCCGTGCGGGCGAGGGGTATAGGCTCCCCTATATTTCTTGCCCCCACCACCGATGATGGCCGTGTTGAATGTAAATCTCAACCGGAGGGGTTAATTCCAAATATTTCAAGCTCCAACCAAATACCCATGAAATTTAAAGCTCTCATAAATCCTAAAATCCTAAAATCCCAATTCCAAATGTTTAAAATTGAAATTCAACCATTCAAACACTTAAAGCAAAATTCATCCACTCTCTGCAACAGTTTGTCGGGATGGAAAAATTGAAATTCACTTTGGCTCACAAAGAGCTAATGCCTGGTCGAAAATATCACTAAGATGCATTCTCAAATAATCTACGGCTAGTAAGGACGTGGTATGTGTCCTCTAACCGGCGGTTTTGCCGCCAAATGACACCGCAGGATAAACGGTTATGACTCGGGGCCCTCTGAACCGAGTGGTTTTGCCTCCAAATGGCACCACGAAATACCGGTTATGGTCAGAGTCAATGCGTTCCTTAGTGACATTAAATCCTTGAGATATGAATTAATAGGATATGATCGATAGGGCACAAAGCCCTCTGTTAGCTAAGGTGGATTCAAATTTGTCCCCTTAGATAAACTATCACCCTAGGTCTACAAGGTCCCCTTGGACGAAGCAACCCATGGCTGCCGACAAGGATCCTTCTGTCAGGTTGGGTTGACTACCTCCTCTGACTAAGCAGACCTGGGGCTATGATGGCCCGGGATGACGGAACCATGGGGTCTTGATCGGGTTCATCATCCATTCCCCCACCATTTGCTTTAAGTGCAAGTTGGTGAAATTTCCAATTTTAAATATCAAACTCTTCAAACTTTCAGTACCCAAGCCCATGCTGCTATTATATGACATATATCACATATTCTTACGTATCTGATTGACAACTAGTCTTAATCGAAAGTTCTCTCTCGTTATCGGGAGGGGTAATAACTATAGGGGCTTGTGCCTATAGGAAACCAGAACTCATATCATAAAGTCCTCGCAAAATGAGAGTGAAATCTCTGGGTATTATCTTATCTATAAACCCATCTTCCTTTCAAAATTTACCCCGGATCTTAACTCCGTTAAAACTCCCCCGAAAACAAAAAGCAACACGAGCGAAGGCCGGGGCCAAATTTTCAGAGCCCACATGAATAAGCCATTATGTTGGTAATCTCTTGGGAGTTTATGTTTATGAAGAAGATATGAGCAGTTTTGGATAATGTCTACTTAGAATCCATTGGAAACATAGTATGTAAATCGCAATGGTTTGAGTTTCAGATTACTCGCAATTTTATATAGGTGGTTGATCTACTTGAGTTGTTTCCTTGTTCTAGTTGAATTATGTGGACCAAAATGAAGTATATTTGGAGGTGTTCAATTGCGATGCTGCCTGAAAGAGTTTGCAAGCCTGTAGAAAATATGGTTATGTTCTTATAGTAAGCTACTTGAATGTCCTCTTTATGTTTTGCGAGCCTTTTGTTCCAGATTGTTTAAAGAATATACGCTTTTGTTTGAAAAGCCAAATTTATTCTTGAATTTCCTGTTGTTCTAAAGTTTTGCAGTCCTTTCAATTATTCAAAAAACAATATCTTATTTGTCACATCAGTCTTGAGTATTTCTAACAACTTGAATTTCCTGTACTCTTTCATAATCATTGTTGAAATCAGGCCAGTATATTCTTCATTCGGCCATATGAGAAGGGAAGCTGTTTTAAAGAATGACGAACCTCTAAAGTTCTTAAAACCAAAAATGACAAATTCTAGTAAATACGCAATGGTTAAGCATGAAGAAATTCCAATGGCACTGCAGGTACCTCTCACTCAAAGATTTTACTGATAAAATATTGTTCCATTCTCTCCAATAGTTTACATGCATGTTATAACCAGGAAATGTGTATTGCGATTAAGGTAGTTTCTCTTGGCAACAATCCAAACTTTAATTAGGATATGCACTAACAAGAATTATGAACTTAAGAGTTTTCTTCCGTATTGATCATTTCGGTTGTGTTTAAATATCTTAAATACTGCAAAATAAAGATATGAACTCATGATTTCCTCTGATTTTTTGTCCGAGCATAACTCTTGATATTTGGAATTCAGGAGCAGATACTCATTGAGTCAGATGAGGAGAGTGATAGAAGTCCTTCCTGCATCTTAGTGAAGAAAGAAACCGGTGTTCTTAGTAAGACTAATAATGCGGTTCACTGATTTTATGTACTTCATCCATCTCCCATGCTAAAAAAAACTTTATTCAGAATATTTACTTATGTTTCATATCTGAGAGCAGATTTGAGAAACCAATTCATTATTTAAATTCTGCAAGCGATCAATGCCTCCTAGTTATATGTGCTAGAAGGTCATACAATTATCATATATTTTCTGGTTTGGAAAGGCTTTGCTAGTTTTTCTTTTCCATTTGATTGAAACTGTCTTTGGGGTTGCGACCCAGGTTTACATATACTAAATAACATATCCGTTCCAATTAGCTTCTGCGCTTGAAAATCTGCTTAGACGATTAATCTCTTATGATTGTTCAAATCATCAAAGTTTCGAGTAATTGCATTCGGAGAACTCATTTCTTAGTGTTTTGGACTTCTGTATCTCACAGTAGATAGCACCCAGTGATATTCAGAAACATTTGGACCTTGTAGAAGAGCTTTTCATTGAGATAAACTGTAATATATGCTATTTTTTGCAATTTTATTGTAATAAAAATGATTGATGCAATTAGGCTAATGGTTATTATGAAACATTTTGCATTTATTGATATTGTATACGTCTTACTTAGTTTAGGGTTTAGGGACAATTACAAACCTTCATCCCACTACGTGAAGTTGGCTACATAAATCATTTTTCTCTATTATGTCCTATTAAGAGTCAAATTCTTATTTAAATCTAATAAAAAAAATATCATTTTAATACTTTCTAAATAGGGGTGTCAATTCGGGTCAACGGGTCGGGTTCGCGTCGAACCCGGAACTGACCTGGCGCTATTCGGGTCAACCCGAACCCGACCCATTTTTAAAAATGGGTCAGGTTTCCGGACCCAAACCCAACCCGATTCAGGTCCAGGTCAACCCGACCTGACACAAATGACCCGAAGTTGACTTAAAATTACTAGTTTTCGGGTCAAAAATCGGGTTAATCTTCAATTTTAGGGTAAAAAACAGGTCAATCTCGGGTTTCTGGGTCAAATAGGAGTTTTCGTGTCAATTTGGGTCATTTTCGGGTTGCTGGGTCAACCTGAACTCGACTTGATTTTTAAAACGGGTTGATTTGTTGAACCCGAACCCAACCCGTTTTGGGTAAGGGTTGACCCTAACCCGAATTTTTCCGGGTCGGGTTTTGGGTCGTGTCAAAAATTGACACCCCTATTTCTAACTAAGTCTAGAGTGTTGATAAAATATGATGCTAAGTATGGATAGGGTTTCACATTGTTTATAAATAAGTAAATAAATAAACTTCAAAACATGGTTTGAGAAAACATGGTTTGAGGTGTAGAGAAATAGAGCCTATACATTGGGTAGTTTTTCCCTTGTATATAGCACTGTGCAGTTTTGTTATATCCGTACTATGGCCAGATAAAAACCTTACCGTCTTAGGTTTCCAGAATCTTTTAATATTAATCATCCATTTTATTATATACCAATTTTTTACCTCAGAGCGCTATCAGATCCTGATCACGCTTCAACATACCAAAATATGCTATGTTTCCTTACTTCAATAAATCTTTATATTCCTCTTATTTTAAATTATGTTTATTCTCTTTAGCAGGTAAGGAGTGTCAATTGGAAAGGGAAGCTAGAGAAGAATCTATGCGCATTCTAATGAAAGCGAGGAAGAGAAAGAGAAGGCCAAGTTGTTACATGAATATACTTTAAGGCCAAGTTGGCTAATACACATTCATTCTCTTAGTTCACTACCCAAAATCTTTAAGGGATTTATCCTGCTTCGTGAAGGAAATGTATGCCATATTTTCCAAACTATCGAGGTAAATATCCTTTCAATAAACATCCTCTTACTCAATCCTGTTAGTTGCTACGTGTTTTGATTTCTTGTTTCAGGATGACTGACCTTTTAATTTCATATATGTGTTTCCATTTAAATCTCTGTAATTTTTATTCTTCTGTGCATGTTGATAGATCTTTCTTAAGCCTATTATCATTATGTAAGATCTTGCGATGTGTCATCTTCCCATAAATTTTTATTTTTATGTTGGATGTTATAATTTCATGTTTCCTTTGGGACAATTTTATTATTACTTTATAGGAAAGTTTTTAATAGAATTTTTTTTTGAAATCAACAAAAAATAGTAGTAAAAATTATGACGGCTTTCTTACAGCTTTTTAAAGCAGATTTTTACTATTAAAAAGCTGCTTTAATAAGCTATAAGATTAAAAAGCCGTCTCAAACAAAGTCTTAGACTACAAAAATTTTTTAGTACAAATTTCTTAAAAAAAAAATAGAGATAAAAACTACTATTCCAAACAGAGCCTTGGGCTCGTTTGGGAATGCTTTTTTATTGCTTCTTAAAATAATTTTTTGATTAAAAAATTAAAATTTTTATATTAAAAATTACTTTAAAAGCAATACTAAAGCAGTTTCTTAATCATCAGCTTCTTGAGTTTTTATTCTTTCCTGTCAACATCGTTTTTAAGATTGTCAGACATAAATCTTACAATGGCGTGTTATTCAATAGCAACAACTTAACGTACGGGAAACGAAAACTTCCTTTCACATTTTATACTTATTTCAGCTACGGGATTCTAAGTTCTAACATGATGAAGACCTTTATATGCTAAACTATCTGCTCGTTATTCAGTGCCTATTTAATCACCATTTGGTGGTGTCTTATCGGAGGCCTAATACAAATTTATTTAAAGCCCGCATGCACAATATTCGTTTCAGATCTTTCGTTTTTTAGCTCAGTGGATCTTTTTACACTCAACTGCTTCAAATCAAATCTTCACTGATCAGTCACATTTCAATTACTGCACAATATACAATGATCCACTCTCCATCTTTTAAGGTTTGATCTCTCTCTCTCTCTCTCTCTCTCTCTCTCTCTCTATTAGATTTACAAACAAGTTCAATTTTCAATAAATCTTATGATTGGTTATTGTTTTCTGAGTAGCCCTCTTCATGGCTCTTCTCACATAGTGTATATTCATGTAAGTATTTACCTATTGCATTTGCGCCATAGAAAACACCATTTCATTGACCTTCTTCTAGCTTTGACTGTATGTGGGCATATTTATGTATACTATTGATAAGGGCACCGCACTTTGTTGGCCTTGTGTGAGGTAGGGCTCCCACCCTTCTAATTTCTTATGTACTTATAAGACGATTTCTATTTTTTATCCCATGATATTAAGGATCTTAGTATGGACCACTTGAGGAGAGATAGTGATGCTTCCCAGCTAAATGATGAATTTAGGCCCGTCTGATTAAAGACTTAAAAATTTAGCTCTGTTTGGGAGGCAACCCAATTATGTTATATGTTGTTATAATTATTTTTATATTATTTTCAATATTTGATATGTTCTATTTATTAGTGTGATTTACCTATTATGGTTAATTATTTATGTTATTATTGTGTTAGTTTAATTTATATTTTATTAAATTCATACTATTACTTAACTGTTGAAAATGTCCTCTACATAGCGCTTGCACTTTAATTGCTCATTTAGCAAAAATAAAAATAATAATTAAAATTAGTTTAAAATTAAGAATAATACTAAAATCTAGGTGATAATTTGGATGAATAAAGTATCACATTTTTTTCATTTTGAAAATCATAGTATATAACTAAAGAATATCATCTAAGTTATTGTTTTGCTTTGGACTTAAAGCTATACACTTAAACACAAACTAATGATTTAAGGATTGAATAATTGAGTTTAGAGAAAGGGAGCGGAGCGTGTAGATTAAATTATGAAAATCATTATAAACTAAATGATTGAATTAGTGAGCATATCATGATCCTAACATTAATTCAATTAGGGTTACTTGAAGGAATAAAGCAATCAGATATTTGAAATCATTATTTAGTATTAAAAGATAAAAAATATGACAAACATAAAAATTAGAAGAAAAAAAAAGAAAAGAAAACAAAAGATGAGTCTGATAAAGCTCAATTCCTAAAAGTATTCTGAATACTTAAATCAAATAGAAAAAGGGTAAGTGAACTAATGCATATAAATGATCACTAATGAATTTAACAATTTAAATACAAACACAACTAATTTCTAAAATGATACATTATTCATATAAAAAATAATTAGTCGTCATTGCATTAGCACTTGTAGTGAATAATCTCAATTTAAGTAATAATAAGGATGATTGATTAGTATATTTACTTATGATCATTTAAATTAAAATTGCATAACTTTGATCATTTCACATTACATTTAAATAGTGAAGTATTTTCTTACTTTTTAGTAATTTTAAATCACCAATTTTTCTTCGAGCTAGTAAGCTAATCAATATGTGATTATACCATTACTTGAGAATAAGTATGAGTTTAAACTGTCACGACCCGACCCGATCCGGGACGGACCCCGCTCGCACCGGGCCGCGACAAAACCTTTTATCCAGGATCTGGCTTTGCTGGGAGGAATTTGTTAAGAGTAAATTTATAGTATTTTATTATATTAATTATCAATATATATTTTTTGATGTAGTGTAGGAAATGCTCAGCAAAAATGAGAAAAAATCGTAAGTGTTGAACTAACACCTTTGTGCTCATACTACTAGTGTCGTAGTGTCTACAATGCCTAGGCACCAAATTAAAAAATTGCAAGGTTGGAGTCTCAGGAAAAATGACAATTAAGTGAATGCCCCGATGGAGCCAAGGTCAGCCTCACAACGCTTCATATTATCGCAGCACCTGAATCTCGAGAATTTAAGTGTTGAAGCATCAAGCTTCGCAATGACGCAATGTCAAAAGACACTTTCAAGCTCAATTTTTACAGCGTCGCAAGGGAGCCATTGCCGAAATTAGGATCTACACTGATTCAATAAAAAAACGCATTGATTCAACCATTGGTAGGGGCAGGTCTACCCAGTGTAAAGGTGGAGCAAGTATAATAGTGTTGAGGTGCTAGTTCATCTTAACATTGCAATGCAACCATGTCGAGCGTCATGGTGCCTAAGTCTATTTATGTACTAGTATAAATATTTTTTTTAGTACTTTTGAGAGGATCTTTGTAAGAGTTTTGTCATTTTCTATTATTTTTTAGTCTTGTGTTGTATTTTTATTTAGTGCCCCTTAGAGTTAAGTCTAAGGGAGGCTTGGGAAGGGCAAAATACTATCTTTGAAGATCTTATCCTATCTTGTCAAGAATAATCCTATATTTGGAGAAGAAAAAAGTATGGAGAGTGCATTTACATTATCCGATTGACATTTTGAAAGTTCGTTAGGGTTGTTAAGCCCTTATGAACTAGCCTGAGATTAACACCAAGAGGGGTGAATTGGTCGTTTTAAAAATTCTTAAATGCAAAGTAAAAACTTTTTGAAATCTTTTTAAATATTTTAAAACAAATGCATTCAACAGAAATTTAATATGCAGAAAAATAAAATGTGGAAGTATCACAAAAAGAACACACCATATTTTATAGTGGTTCGGTCAACTTGACATACATCCACTCCCAGAGCCTCTCCTTCAGGTATTGCACTAAACCAACAACGACTCTCCTTTTCCTCCTACAGCAAGGCGAAGAAGCCTTTACAAACTCCTTTTTATTGTCCCCGGTGAGGCAGAGAATGCAGACTCCTTTTATTTCCTCCTGTAGCAGGCAGAGAATCTTGATGCCTTTTGCTTCTTCCTTAAGCAGGCAGAGAACCTTGACCTTGTGCTGAAGAATAAATCGCAAATCAGAATTATATTCATTTGATAAATGCAATAACTTGATCAAGAAAAGCTTGAAAGTGATTTAATGACTTTGAACATTATTCATATGAGATAGATTATTATAGGAAGATAGAAAAGATCTCAATTTTAAAGTCATATTTTTAATTTGAAAAAGATTTTTGCTTTGAAAAAAAACTTACACATTTAAAGGAGTTAGAGGAAGGGAAATAATCAACAGTGTTTCTTCCTTTAACTGATTTAAGGATGTCAACCATTGATTATAAATTAAAAAAAAAAAACAAGACATAAAATATCATTTTAATAGTGACCAAAAGAAAACGGAAAAGAGCAAAAAAGTATAAAATTGAAAACATGAAACACACCAGCAAATAAATAAGAATAAACAATCAAAACAAAAATAAGGGAAAGATCAGAAATAAAAGAAAAATAAAAACAACAAAAATAAGAGAAAGATCATAAAACATAAATTTCAGAGTTCATAAATCGTCAAGTTCATGCATTTATGTCAATCACGCCCAATCTGGTCCTTAAGATATTGAATGTTTCAAAGGCCAGTGGTTTAGTAAAGATGTCAGCAATTTAGTTTTCAGTTGATACATGGTGTAATTGTATGTCTCCTTTGGTAATATAGTCCTTAATAAAGTGATGTCTTATGTCAATGTATTTGGTTCTAAAATGTTGCATAGAATTTTTAGAGATGCAGATGACACTGGTGTTATTACGTAGAATTGAAATTATGCCAACAGGTAATCTTAAATCCAAACTTTCTTGCTTCAACCAAAGGACTTAGGCCACACAAATTCTTAAGACAGTATACTTAGCTTTAGCAGTGGAAAGTGTAACAGAATTTTATTTTCTATTGGATCATAAGACTAAGGATTGTCCTATGAATTGACAAGTTCCAGAAGTGCTCTTTCTATCCACCATACACCCTGTAAAATTAGAATCAGAATATCTAATAATTTTAAAAGAAGTGTTATGCCTAGGATACCAAATTCATAAGTTTTAGATCCCTAAGAGATATCTAAGGATTCTCTTAATTACAATCAGGTGGGATTCTTTAGGATCATCTTAAAATCTAGCACAAAGATAAACACTAAATATTATATCAAGTTGGCTAGCAGTCAAGTAAAATAGTGATCCAATCATTCCTTTATACTTCTTTTGATCAATAGATTTTCCATTTGAATCCTTATCTAACTGGACACTGGAGTTCATGGGAGTGT